TGCTTTTTAAAAAAACATGTAATTGCATATTATGAATTGCATAATTTCTTTTTTAAAAACAATATGTTTTCTATGCACTAATTTATTTATCTTATTTTATGCATAAAAGTATTAAGATATAATAGCAAAGACTGAATAGTTTATGAGATATTTTATATTTTATGTTAAAAATGTGCAAGAGTAAAGTGTAAAGTTATTAATTTTTTGACAATTTTATCTTAATACTTTTATATGCAGAATATATTGATTTTTTTCGAAAATTAATTTTATCATTATTTATCTCTCTTCAAAACGTATATCTTTTACTTCAAACGTTTTTTATTTTTCTTCAATAATTTTCGAAAAATCTCAATCCGTCATTTAAAATAAGACATCCTGTACATACATCATAACATTATTTTAAAAATACAATAAAAAGATTACTAATCAGGGATTATTAATCCGCGTATTATCCAGAATAACTGGCATATTATTCAATACTAATATCAGATTTCCATGATTTTTCACGAAAATCGCGAATTAGTAACTTGTAATTATTTGTGCCAATAGAATAGCAAACTACTCATGATTCTAATAGTAAAAAATAGTAAATCCTTATAATTACTAATCGCTCCAATAGTAAACTATTTACGATTCTAATAATAATGAATAATAAGTGCCCTATAGTTACTATTTGTTCCAATAGTAAAGTATTTATAATTCTAATAGTAATGAATAGTAAATGCTTAGTAACTATTCATCCAATAATAAACTATTCATGTTTTCAATAGTAATATCCCATAATAGTACAAAATTTCAATAATTTTCTGAATAGTTATATTTCTCAATAGTTCTCAATAGTTTCTTTCCATACGGGTTTCATTATTTATTCATTAAAAACGACTTAAAAATGACGATTAAATGACAATATATTTATGACAATATTTCATGACAAATGTTACGTTTATTTTACGTCGTTTTTTAGTAGACTGGAAAATGATCTTAAATCATCATCATAATGACGTTATTTTGCTACTTGGGATATATAGATTTTATACGAATAATCGTAGTATATTCGATATGATCATAGAGTACGTTCAATATAAATACAGAATATTCGTATGATATCATGTGTTGCAAAGGTATATTCAGTATATTCTGAAGATGAGCTTAAGAATATACAAGAAATGATATGCCATCAAAATTGAAAGATATTTATTATAAATTTGGAAAAATAAACGGAGACCGACTGGATTTGAACGCGGGATCCCTCGCTTACTACCAAAACACTTAGTCTGCACGACCACGACGGCTCCTCTGTAAGTTAGCTGTTTATAATCCGAATTCTTCATGACCGCTTACGGTCATCTATTTCTTACAGTACATTCAGTATAAATACAGAATATTCATATGATATCATTGTTAGGGTATATTCGGTATATTCTGAAGATGAGCTTAAGAATACGAGAAATGTTATATTATATTATCAAGATGAATCATATGAATGTTCTCTGGTATATTAGGCAATAGTATGACCACAGTATTTTCAGTACGAATGTAGAGTATTTAAATGATGTGTATTAGGGTTGTTGTATATATTTTGTTTACTTTTTTATGAATTTGTTAATAATTGTATTAAATATGGCAAATATTTTTTTTATTTATATATTATAGTTAATTAAGAAAGATAATAATTAATAATGTTATTTTATTATGTATTCATTAAAAATGACTTAAAAATGACGATTAAATGATCTATTTATGAATAATTAATTAAATTAAATTAATTTAAATTAAATTATCTATTTATGAATAATATTTCGTAACAAAGATTACGTTTATTTTACGTCATTATTTAGTACACTGATGTCGAATGACGGAAAATGACTTCGAAATCATCATAATATTCAGTATAAATACAAAATATTCATATGATATCATATACTGTTAAAGTATATTCGGTATATTCTGAAGATTGGTTTAAAAATATATGAGAAATGATACACCATCAAGATGTCATATGAATATGTTCTCTAGTATATTAGATAATAATACGTATGACCACAGTACTTTCAGTACGAGTGTAGAATATTCGAATGATATCATGTGCTATTAGGGACATAAGACATGCAAAATATTCTATAGTTTCTTTTTAAATCAACAATTACAGACAATTTTTTTTTCGAAAAAATTGCAACTTTTTTTTATTATCATTTCAAGACCCTAATAGCACTCGTTTATCTTCTGAGAATGTTCCACGGGATATCATACAAGTATATTTGAGATATTTTCCGAACATTCGAAATACGTACTATGATATACTGTGGAATATACTTAGAATGTTACTACCATTCACTAATCTAATCCGTAGTATGTACTGGAGAATATCTCGCAGTATGGCCATAGACTAAAAATGGTTTAAAAACAGTATATCATCATGCCCTACATGTCATGTAGGACATGCATAAGGGTATCCCAGAGAGTCATATAGATCGTTAAAATCTGTAATATATGTGACACTTTTACAAAAAAATAAGTGAAAAAAATGAAAAAAATGAGTGAAAGTAAAACATTTTTTATCTTGTATCATTGTTTTTAAAATGGTCACCCATTCTACTTAGGATTCTGTTCGATGCCGCTTAACTTCTGTAATGAGATGAAACCTGCAACTGAAATGATGATATAGATGAACATGGAATTTTGACATAAAATATGATAGATCTGGTTAATGAATGTTACTATATTGTCATATAAATAGTCTCAATTTTAAAATCTCGATTGCATATGTAATTCTTGTAGATAATGTAATTACATACATAGAACCGTGAACTTATATTATGTTTAATGAAAATCATTTTTATTATGAAAATTGTTTATAAATTGTTGAATATATTTTATTTATTTGTTTATGAATTTGTCAATAATTGTAATAAATATGAGAAATATTTTTCTTATTTATATATTATAGTTGAATTAAAAAAGATAGTAATTAATAATAATATTTCATTATTTATTCATTAAAAATGACTTAAAAATGACGATTAAATGACAATATATTTATGATAATATTTTATGACGAATGTTACATTTATTTTACGTCGTTTTTTAGTACTGATGTCGAATGACGAAAAATGACCTTAAATCATAATGATATCTTGCTACTTGGGATATGACAAATGATATTCTACACAGATTTTATGCGAATAATCGTAGTATATTCAGTATGATCATAGAGTATGTTCAATATAAATACAGAATATTCGTATGATACCATGTGCTACTAGGATATATTTGATATTCTGAAGACGAGCTTAAGAATATACAAGAAATGATATACCATCAAAATGTCATATGAATTTGGTATATGGTATATTAGGCAATAGTACGTATACAGTACTTTCAGTACGAGTATAGAATGTTTGAATGATATCATGTATTATTAGGAGAGAAATCAATATTTTAAAAAATCCCTACATCAGACGATAATCATAACAGTATAAACGATTTTTTTTAATTTGCATAAGGTCTATTCTTTTTGCTAAACTGGCTGTGGCTATTAGATCACAGTTTATCTTTCTTTCTTATATTGGAAGAAGAAAGATAAACTTTGAACTAGTGCAGCCAGTTCAGCTAAAAAGGACAGACCTATAGGTTGAACCGTTTTGCCGAAATCATGTACACTGAGTCCGTTTCATGAAAAGTGTTCCCACAATTGGATCAGGTAGCCACCATTTTGTCGTTCAAATGAGATGAAAACATTTTTTACACTAGAAAAGATGTATAATAAAACTCTCAAATTAGTTTTTCAATCAAATTATTCATTTTTTCCCAAAGATTCACAAAGTTAGAATTGATTTTTGGGTGCCAAAGGTGGAGGTTTCTTCTTAAGGCTAAAATAGCTACTATAAAGTCTTTTTCCGAAATTACATGAATAATTAACATATATTATAAAAAGCTTGAATTATTTTTTTAAATATAAAATTTTTGGTTAATTATATAATCTCATAAGTTTACTGTAATAAAATTATTTTATTCTTAAATAAAAAATTGTTTGATTTTCTTTCATTTTAATAAATCTAAGTAATTTTAATATTTTTAAATTCCAAATATATTATCAAACTTATTTCTATTATAAATACAATTATACTAAAATACTGTGCATAAACTATTATTTTATCTAACAAAATTTTTTATAACAAAAAGAGAACTTACAAGTTTAATAATTAAATAGTAATCTTAATCATCTTTTAAACATAAAATTAATATCAATTTAACTTTCTATAAGTTACAAAAATTACATCCTTATTATATAATTATAATAAATCGTAAATACGTCATTGATTCAATGAATTAGATGAAGGATCCGATAGTTGATGTGTATTATTAGAAGGCACAGCATTTATAGAACTCAAATTCTCTTGTTTTATATTAGAATTACCAAGATTCATATTGATCACAGTTGTCGATATAGGATTTTGCATATCTAATTGACTCTGTGCAATATCTTGTAGAGCCACTTGAATTCGTTGGAGGAGCGTTTCACCTTGTTTCACCACCTCTTCCAGTTGTTCACCAGCCTGTTGATTCTCCTGTTCGAGTCGACTGAGACTGGCAACTTGCAGCTCTTGTGATGACTCTTCACTTGGCAAGCTCTCTATTAATGTATCTATATCTTTAGCACATCTTGCAATGAGATTGGCAAATAAAGCAGCATAATCTAAAATGAGTAACTATGACTTATCATCAACATATATCATGTTTAATGTAGCAATTTACATCAATGTATATTAAAACATATAAAAAAAAAACCTTCTTGAGATTGATGCGGCTGTGGAGTACCAATGCGATCAAAACCAGGAAATTTACTAGGTGTAGAATACTGTTGTAGAATACCAACACTGTTACAGAAATGTTCTGCTTGCTATATAATTGATATTTAAGTTTGTTAAAACATGTTTAGCTAAAATGTTTGGATAATAAATAAAGTAATAAACAAAAAAAATTGCATTACCTGATTTATGGTGTCTTGTAATTGTGTCAAACGATCTGCCATAATTCCAAATTAATGTGAATTACTCACAATTAATTTGAAGAACTTCCTATAAGATATTTATATAATATTTAACCAACAAATAAAACCTTTTTATGAAAATTTAATGTAATATATTAAAAAATATATATATTATTCACTTTTTACTTTTCTAATACTTTCATACATATTCAAAATTTTAAAAACATTTTTTAATACTTATTTTTTTAATATTTGTTGAGAAAAATAGTTATTTAGATCTATTCTTTTTAGCTAAATTAGTTGCACTAGTTCAGAGTTTATCTTTCTTCTTCCAGTATAATGAAAGAAAAATAAACTGTAAACTAGTACAACCAGTTCAGCCAAAAGAACAAATCTTTTATTTATTCTAAAGCAATGGCTGCGTTCAGCAAAGAAAGCAAATTTGCAACTGTCAAAATTTTTGATATAATTGGTTTTTGCTCTTAGTTCCTCATGGATCTAAATGTATAAATCACTCATATTTAGAAGAAACTTAGAAGAACATAGAAGAACTTTACAAAAGCATTTTACAAAACTGTTTTTTTCTGTTGAACACAGCCAATAATCTTAGGAAATTATAAAAAGTCATAACCTATATACACTACTTTCACTATCTTATAATAACTTTTTCTTTTATTAGAGTTCTTAAGGCCATTGCACGTGAAAAAATTTTAATCGTAATCGTAAGATTGTAAACAAATTGACCAACCAGAATCAATTATTTTCCTTACAGTCTAAAAATAATCGATTGTAGTTGGTCAATTCGCTCACAACCTTACGATTATCATTAAGATTTTTTCACGTGCAATGATTTTTAAAGCTGGTAGCAGATTTTTAAATCAGAAGCCTATATGGCAAAAATCAAATAATGTATAGCATGTATAAAAACAAAATTTAAGGAAGTCTTACAGTCCCCCAAACTTTTATATCATACTAGTAGCGAATTCCATTCACTGCACTACACTGGGCTAGTGCATACTAAATGCTGATATACATGAAATTATTGAAATGTAAAAATACATAAACACTTCAAAATAATTATATAGTCAACAATGAATTTGTCATTATTTAGTTGAATATAAATTAATAAGAAATAAATACTATTAATAATTTCATTTTATTAAGGAAGATATTATGCTACATTTAGATTATTTCATATGTAGCAGTCTTTAAAGGCCATTGCACGTGAAAAAATTTTAGTGGTAATTGTAAGGTAAGCGAATTGACCAACTACAATCGATTATTTTTAGACTGTAAGGAGAATAATTGATTCTGATTGTTCAATTTGCTTATGATCTTACGATTGCGATTAAAATTTTTTTACGTGCAATGGCCTTAAGGATCGGCAAGAGAGACTATGGAGACCTCTATCAAAATAAATTCCTTTTCATTCATATTACGGTCAAAATGCTGCGAGAAAAGTTATATGATTATGATATTTATAATCAGAATATTTGCTTGACGAAAGCTACAGAACGATTTTTGTAAGATGTGTGAAAATAAATAATTCATTTATGCGTAAATAGATTTGCACTAGAGGACAATAAGATGCAAATATTTTCATCTATTGTAAATTTTTTTTTAAGAGCCAAATTGCAAAATCCGACTGTGTAGCAAGAATCATAATTTTATAAAAAATACTCATGGCAGAATATTGCTTCGAGATAATATATGAACTCAAATATATATCTGCACTGTAAATAAGGAATAGATAGTTACATTTATTTTAATTATTTAAGAGCTAAATTGCAAAATTGACTCTATAGGTAGCTTCGTAATTGTAAAAGAAATTATCTTAACAAAGTTTCATGACAAAACGTTTCTATAAGAAAATATAATTGAGTACAGATACATATCTGCACTGTAAATAAGGAATAGATAATCATTTTAGATCAAGTCGGAGTTAACTAGTCACTCCTGCCCACCCTTAATGTGCACTAACTTGGTAATGTAATGAATGGAATTCGCTATAGATTGCTTATACCTGTGCCAGACAGAAGCCTGAGAACGATCACGATTTACCTGTTACCTTATTTTAAGCGCCAATGTCCACGATCATAGACATTGAACTACATAGCCATGTCCATGAAATTAGTCGGTAGGTACACGACTATATATTACAATTAATTTATTACAGTTAAAACAATCAGTTTTGAAATTAACTCACGGAAACAACGATATTCGTTAAACACCGAGTAACAATGGCAATACATCAATATAATGATTTCCTCTTTAACAATATAACTATTACGTATAACATTATATATATATTAGAGGTATACTGTTGAGTAGAAAATTATTAATATTAATGTGATATTACTGTTACTTAATGTTTAGCAAATAATAATCCTTACATTTATTTCTGAATAGATTAATTGCTATGGTACAGGGTGCATTAACATATTAGGCAGTAGATCGCACGCGTTCACGCATGCATCCATGTGCGAACAGTTGAGAAATTTCATTCTTGCAATTTATCTATTCAAAAATAAACATAAGATTGTTAACACTAAGTAAGGGCATATCAATACATTATATTACACTACAATCATATTATACGTAATATAAGATCAAAGAATTTAGTTAAACATAAATTCTATTTATGGCAAATATTTATTAATACTTTTATAAATTACAAAAAAGTTAAAACCGATGTTAATTCCGTGAATTTTAATAACTTATTTCCCTATATAGAAATTTAATGCCGTTAAATGATTAATTACTTATTTTGTCTATTAAAAGTATTCTTCAACGTATTTAACTCGAAATAAGTAATTTTCAATATTAAAATGAATAATATTAAATTGAACTTCCATAAGTGGATTATTAATCATTTCATTAAAAGAATTATGATTACATTGTAATTATAATTATATCATCTTGTTAAATCATATTAGAATAAGTTGAATACTTAAAATTGTTTAGTAAGTCTAAAGAAATAGGTAAAATTTTCGCATAAGAAATATATATAAATGTCTAAATATAAAAATTTGAAAAAATAAATGTTTAAATAAATCAATTTTCTTATTTAGAACAATTCTCTTTTTTCTTTTCAATATTGATTTTACAAAAATTTACAGTGGTCGATAATTTGTTTGATGAATTTCGTAATGTAATGGCAATGTCATAATAACATAATTTTAAAAAAATGTAAAATTATCATATACAATAAAAATGTATAATTATCATATAACTTCTTTTAATGATTTTTTTTAAATATAAACCTGTTATATTAAAGAGTACAATTTCTCGTCAAATTTTTAATTTATTTAGACATTTACATATTTATATTTATATTTCTTATGCGAAAATTTTACCTATTTCTTTAGATTTACTAAACAATTTTAAGTATTCATCTTATTCTAATATGATTTAACAAGATGATATAATTATAATTACAATGTAATCATAAGTCTTTTAATGAAATGGTTAATAATTCACTTACGGAAGTTCAATTTAATATTATTCATTTTAATATTGAAAATTACTTATTTCGAATAGTTAAATACGTTGAAGAATACTTTTAATAGACAAAATAAGTAATTAATCATTTAACGGCATTAAATTTCTATAGGGAAATAAGTTATTAAAATTCACGGAATTAACATCGGTTTTAACTTTTTTATGTAATTTGTAAAAATATTAATAAATATTTGCCATAAATAGAATTTATGTTTAACTAAATTTTTTGATCTTATATTACGTATAATATAATTGTAGTGTAATATAATGTATTGATATGACCTTACTTAATGTTAACAATCTTATATTTATTTTTGAATAGATAAATTGCGAGAATGAAATTTCTCAACTGTTCACACATGGATGCATGCGTGATGCGTGAACGCGTGTGTACAGGGTGTTGCATTAACATATTAGGCAGTAAATCGGGTTGCGTTACAGATTTTGCAGAGGCAAATGCGATTCAATGACAGCATATACATGTATCATCATAACTTACCGAGCGAGTGGATCGTCTCTATATCAATAAAATTTGCATCGTTTCAATTATGATGGACTTGAATAATAATTGCTGTGATTATTATAAGAGAAGCCGAAACGACAATTAAAGATGAAAAAATTAAAGCAGCAAGTCGCAATATAACACCTGCTATGCTAAGTACAGTGCGACATAGTTTCATGCGGAGAGTCGCATTATGTTTAGAAGAGTCTGGAGGATATTTTGAACATTTTTTATGAAATTGTTTTTAACGTTTTTAATATTTTCAAAGTTTTCAATGTTTTTAATGTTTTTAACATTTTTAATATTTTCAAAGTTTTTAATGTTTTTAATGTTTTGTCATTGTTTGTTTTTTTCATTCACGTTTAACTTTAACTTTAAATTTAATCTATTGTTAACTTAAATCGTACACCACTTAAAATTCAATTTTTCATTCTTTAATTGCCGTTTCGACTCCTCTTATAATAATCACAGCAATTATTATCCAAGTCATAATTGGAACGATGCAAATTTTATTGATATAAAGGCGCGCGATTCACTCGTTTGGTAAGTTATAATGATACATGTATATGTGTCATTACCTATTGAAACGCGCCTGCCCCTGCAAAATCTGTCACGCAACACGACATACAGCCTAATATGTTGATGCAACACCCTGTACATAGCAATTAATCTATTCAGAAATAAATGTAAGAATTATTATTTGCTAAACATTAAGTAACAGTGATATCACATTAATATTAATAATTTTCTACTCAACAGTATACCTTTAATATATATATAATGTATGTAATAGTTATATTGTTAAAGAGGAAATCATTATATTGATGTATTGCCATTGTTACTCGGTATTTAACGAATATCGTTGTTCCGTGAGTTAATTTCAAAACTGGTTGTTTTAAAAATATATTCGGATAATGATCTTTTATTACATAATTGTTAATGAAACACAATATTCAAAAATTTGAATAAACGCGAAAAAGACAAAAATAATTAACGTAACGTATGTATATTATAAATTTATTTTATATATTTTTTTATATTTTACATATTTGTTACAGATATTTTACATTAGTTGAAGATTTGTATCAACACTTCGTGGACATAGTACAGAACAGAATCACAAAATCGTGAACATAGTTGTGTTACCTACCGACCAATTTCATGGACATGGCTATGTAGTTCAATGTCCGCGATCGTGGACATTGGCACTTCAAAATAAGGTAACAGTAAATCGCGACCGTGGTCGCTCTCAGGCTTCTTTCTGTATGAAATTATAGAAATGGGATCGTCCCGTTTGATCACATTGCGATTGATTACAGCCACTCACAGCGGCCGATGTCTAGAGATTTTCCTCTGTTCAAACGCTATGAGTGGTTGATGGTCAATTGCAACATGATCAAACGGGACACTCCCATTTCTACCCACCCCTATGAAAATACATACGAAATATGAAATAAATGTATAATAACATAATGAGTAATTATCTGTGATATTTTCTATCAGTAATTATTTAGAATATCGGTCTTCACTTCCGATTTTGATAAAATTAGGCTCAATCGACGCGATTTCAATCAAAATAAAAGAATCTGGCAGAAAAACTGAGTATGCGTTGTGAATCTGTACGCATGATAGGGGAATACGGGGAACGAACCTCCCTGAATGGATGTCGAGGAGACGAAGCCCCCTCGTCAGGGAGTCAA